GTATGATGTTTAACATTACTTGAACATATCTTTTCCGATGGTTTATTTTCGGTATATGTTGTTATATGATTTGGTATATGCACTGATTTCTTTGTGAAGTTCATTTCTGATCTTGCTATATTTGTGGTATATTTTGGGTAAATCTGTCTGGTAGAATTGCACATTCAAATTGTATGTTACCAAACTATAAAGAACACGAAAAAACTACAAGAAAAAATGAGCAAGTAATAATAATAAGCAACAATAAACTAGAAAATTATTAAAGTGGTATAATTTGTGGTAATATTAAACAAGTAATGATAGACACAACACAATTTTTCTGTGGTATATTTTGGGGAAAAAAACGATGGTGATCGACGCCCAATTCCCAGTTTTTCTGGTATATTTTCGTTCTGGTATATTTTCGGAATAAAACGATGATGATCTTGTTTTTTCAAATTCAAATTTTATGCTCCCCATGTTAAGTCCGGTAATCATGCGCAAGAATCATGGGAGGGGGGAGAGAAAGAGAAGTAACTGATTGTAGGCATGAATGCAAATAATCTTTATCTATTAGGTATAATTACAATTAAATTGTTATTAAAGGTAATATTGCAATATATTAAAAATAACGTAGCATAGCTAAAAATTTCTCTTTTTTTAAATGTTTGCCAAGATAAAATGTTGTTCAATATACATTAAATGGCAAATGTGAGCCTCCACCATTTTTTTATTTAAATTACAATCCGACCGTTGGATTTTCATAAGATTTACTTTGAGAGAAATCTCGTTCTCCAAGCTTTCAAATGACACCTCCCATCCGAAAATTTGACATTTTGATTATCAGAGAACTTGAATTGAATTTTTTTTCTATATACATGTGTTCCTACTATCTTCGTGGATCGATTATAGAAGTATCAATTTTCAAAATTCGACAACCATACCTCAATTGTTTATCTACATGGGCTTTAAAAGCCCTAAATTATTTTAAATGTTAATTAAAATTTCTCATTAATTGAACTAAAAAAAATTGTGTCATATTAGCGTTTTCAATCGAAGATGCAAATTGTCAGTTTCAATTACATTGAGATGCAATTGTCAAAAAAAAAAAAAAAAAAATTATATGACAAAATCTAAAAATTGACATACTTTGGGAGGTTAAAAAAAATTATCCCTATATTTATTAACAACAGTGTCACCTCCTGAATGGTTTTCGTATTGACTTAAAAAATGAGATAGATATCACTCTCATACCGTTCGGGATCGTGCCCCCATTTGTAATTAGTTAATGAAAAATTCAACAAGAATGAACATAAAAGTTATATTGACCAACCCAAGATCACTTGGATGAGATGGTTTGAGTCTTTTCCAGCTTAACCAGTCGTCTCGTGTTCGAGCCCTGGGAATGCAGCAGTGTTAAAACTCTTGAGGGAGAGCTTTGCCGCCCTTGTGGTCCTACCCGGTTGGATTCCAGATTAGTCGGTTCCCCTGTGGATCCAGAAACCGGAAGGTCCCTGTACCAAAAAAAAAAAAGTTATATTGACCATGATCTAGATTCTTGCTGTTGAGTTAGGTTATGTTTCGTAAAACTAGCTGATAGCTTATGAGTGATTTTTTAGCTAATAACTTATAACTTATAACTGAAAAGTTAACTTATATAATAAAAATAATTGGTAAAATGAACTGATAAACTAGGTGAAATAAACATTTCAATAGGCTTAATTGAAAAGCTACTCAAAAAACCTTATCATATAAACTCGAGTTCATTAATAAAGTTTATCCTACCAAAGTAAACTTATTTAAATATAAAAAGCTTATAAGCTAATCAAATAAATTATAAGCTAATTTATTCGGTTACAAAATATAGCCTTGGAGAAAAAATTATATTGACCGTGGAGAGTTAGATATTAAGATGGGTGAGTAAAAAACCATGGCTTCTGTGAGGACAAGCCTTTAGATTGCCAAAATTTTGTGAGCAG